GGGTCTCCCTGCCCCCGGGCCCCTACTAGCCCCCTCATCTGGGCTGGATGGATGGGAGCAGCGGGGGAACTGGGAGCATCGTGTCCAGCGTGGGGACCATACTGCTGCTCTGGGGGGCTGGAGGAGGAGGGGGGTCCAGCTTCCCTGGCCCCCCATCGCCCGCAGCACAGCCCCGAGCGGGCAGCTGCACCTATCCCTTGTTGGAGGGATGCTCAGCTGCTCGGGGAGGGCAGCGGGGAGGACCACGTGGGCAGGGTTATTAATTCCAGCAGATATTCATTAGCACTGCAACTGTGGTTTGAATGTGCAGCATCGGGCGGGCTGCTGTCACTGGCTTCTGGCAAGATCTCGACTGCTTTAAAAACAATCAAAGTTGCCTCCAAACACCACAGTCCTGCCCAATATAAGATAACAGTTAATAGTCTCAAATAGCAACTATCAACTTCTCCATAAGGTCCACAAATATTAATATAATTCTAATTAGTTCCTTTAAATACGTTGCCTAAATTAAGCATTTCCTCAGCAATAAATCAGCAGCCGTTTGGTACCCTGCTCACACCCATTAAGCAGATGACGAGCTCTCCCTCCCTGTCCCATGGCCAGTCCCTGCCTGGGACCAGCCCGGGGCTGTGCCATGTCCTGCTGATGTGAGCGCTGGCAGTGCTCCCGCTTCGGGAGTTTCAAGCTTCGGGATGGGGAAAAGCGGGTGGGTTTTGGGGCTGGAGCAGTGTCATCCCTGCGGCTCCCCCTGCAGCATGGCACAGGTGGGCCGTTTTCAGGCTAAACCCTGGGGCTTGGCCAACGAACACCCCAGTGGGCTCCAGCGCCGTCGCTGATCCTGCACCCCAAGGAGGGCGGCTGGTGCTGCCGGTGGTATCTTGTTGAGTGACTGCGAGAGCGCAGTTTGAAAGCGCCTGATAAAATATCTCCTAAGGACCCCACAGTCACAGATATAAAAATAAACCAACCATTAGATTCAAAAGAGGAAAGGAAGCCCAGGCTCCACTGAAAAAGCAGAAAGTGCCCTGCGACCTTAATCAGGAGTAATATTGTTAATACATTTTTCCCCAGGAGCACCCAGATTTGCATTCCCAGCAATTTGCACAATAATGAGGCGAGCTGACCATGCCTCACCCCGGCAGCAATCACCTCCAAATCGATGGCACCGTGCCGGAGAGCTCGTCTGAAAGCTCGTTTGCTCCAGCTGCAGCGGTGCCACGTGTCCCCGCTGCCGCTCTGCCCCGGCTGCCCCGGCACGCCTGCAGCCCCGACACCGCAGGACAGGAAGGACCGGGAGCCTCGGGGGGCTGCAGGGCTGCAGGGAGCAGGGGTTGTGTACCCAGGAAAGTCCACCCACCTCCTTGGAGCCCAGCTGGGTGCTCCTGCCAGCCTTCTCCAGCCTTCATCCCCAGTCTTCCTCCTGGGAGGTGGCAGCAGTGGCCTGGAACAGATGGCAGGAGGTGCCATCCTGCTCAGACCAACCCCCTGAGATGGAGGAGTGAGAATCCCTTCAAAGGTGCCTGAGCGTGCACTTGGTGGGGTCAGGTGTGCAAGGGTGAGCGTGAACGCAGGAGCATGCACGGAATGAGCAAGCGCAGGGTGAGTGTGGAGGCTGCAGGTTTTGGCGGGGAATGGACGCGGCTCTCTGCGTTGGTGGTACTGGAAAAGAGCAAATACCAAACTCATTTGCTTGAGGAGAAATTAATATGGTGTGAAGCCTGTAGTGGGTGATTTAAGAAGTGAATTTAAAATCTCAACACAAATAGATTTTTTTATAAGGTCAGAAGAAAGATTAAATGCTACAGACAAGCACAGCACTTGCCATTTCCAGCATCACTTTTACCATAAATATTTTGTGCTGGCGCCGTGTCCCCGCGCTGCCCACGTGGGTCAGAACCCACTCGCCCCGAGCAGGGATGTCCCTGGGGAGGGGCTGAGCCCTGGGGCCACCCTGGCGAGGCGTGCGCCCGCTGCTGGCTTCTCCTCCCGCCGCCCGGCAGGGACCAGGATTGATGGCAAGAGATTTGAAAGGCTCCAAATGTGGAGGTTATATCGCTGAGCCACCCCCATCCATCACGAGACGTTCATTATTAAGTAACACCCTGCACGCTGGGCTGATTTCACACCTTATCTGAACCCAGCAGC